CCATTAATTAGTCCACGTTTGTTTCTATAGTTTATGTCGCCAGTGTTTCTGGCGACTGAATTAGCAACTTGAGCTAAAAGGCTGAAATGAGTTTGAACTTCAACTTTGAAGACTCTAAAAGGGTCCATTTCTCATGTGAAACTCTAAGGCGGTGAGCTCACCGAAATAACGTAGCTTATGAAATGGCGTATGATCTAGCGAGTGGTACTACGTGCCACTAAATGCATGTTACTTGCCTTGTCACTTCAGTTGGCTCTTGCTTATTTGTTTATGTTGGCTTGATTTGATATAGCATGCTAGATGCGTGCTACTTGCTGGATCACACGCCACATCATAAGCCATGCTATTTCGGTGGGAACCCTGCCTAAGACTGCCTTCTTCGTGATAGAATATCCCAACTGTGTTGTTAATTGGAGTAAGAAGAAATTGAGGGATGACGACTGGAATCAGCCCGATGAGTCTGGAAAAGAATCGACTAGTCATAGAACGGCTCTATCAAAGTTAAATTTCGAAAATTGATTTGTTTTGAGGTTTTTCACTTTCGCTGAGTTTCTGTAAACTTCAATTATTTTGAATGGTCTTTAAAAAAGATTTTGAGCTTTAAATTCTAGAAGATTTTGTGGGAACGTCTTGTCGAACCTTACTTTCGACTTTTCTTTCTGGATATCGGTTCTGGCTCGAGCCATTCTATAATAATATTCCATTCTGTTGTTGATTCTCGTATGTATTTGGAGATTAGATATTTTTGATTATAAAGAGTTTCGGTGGGTCCATTCGACGTATGGCCAAAGATTAATTCGAAAGGTGTGAATCCATGTGTTTTATTTTTGGTATTATTATAACAGATAACTGCGTACGGGATGGATAATGGAGATGTTCCGCTTCATGAACGCGGATCATCTCCATTAAAATTGCATGGAATCTTTCCAGCGATCCGTTGGATTGTGGGTGGCTTACGCTTGAAAATGTCAATTTCATGTCGTAGAGTTGACAGAGGTCTTTGAGTAAGGCGTTGTTGAATTCACCTCCACAATCATAGTGAATTCTTATGCCGGTTTTCCACCAAACCGACAAAACAAAAACAAAACTTGAACTCAGACAAAACTCTAACTTTTCCCAAAAATTTTCAAGATTAGCGTGTTTTGCGCCAGTTGGAGTATTGTTTTTCGAGTTAATTTCGAGTTTTAAAACATGTTTTATACACTTCCCTACTCGGTATGTAATATACTATTAAAACACAAACTCAACAGTCCGTTTGGTGGAAAACCGGCATTAAAGGTGTACCGTAATGTTGGAAAAATACTAATAGGGTGTTAACAATTGTGGACGACGCCTTTTTGTCTGAGATTGGGTAAGCTTGAGTGAATTTGGTAAGTCCTTCCCTAACTGTTAGGGCGTAGTTACGAACTGGGAATTGAAAAAGGTCAATGTTTATCCTTTCAAATGGAGTTTTGGGAGTTTTAGTAATAACAAGAGGAGAACTAAGATTTTTCCTACAGATTTTGACTTTTTGGCAGATTTCACAGGCTCTGATGAATTTCTCATCTTTGGTTAAACCTTGCCAGGAGTATTTCTCTTCAATCCTTCTAATGGTTTCATTGATTCCACGATGTAAATTAGTTTTTCCAGTATGATATTGGTCCAGGATAATTGGGATTTGGTCTTGATCTGGGGTTTTGACGATATTTTGATATATCTCAAGCTTAATGTCTTTTTCGGCAAATATAAAGGAAAATATTTCAAGAATAGGTAATTCCAGATTGTTTTCTATGCAAAAGGTTTTTTCAGGGTCAAATTCGTTTTGACACTTGAAAAGCGAGTAAAAGAAAGTAGGGACTGTTTACTCATTTTTTAAAGGAATGGGAATTATGAAGTATTTGCGTGCCTTCACAGATTTGCTGGATAAAATGTTAATCTGATAAGGTTGAAAATCGAAATTTTCCTCGAATAGATCATCTATGAGTTTGTAATGTAAGTCTGTTAGTTTGGTTTACCAAAAGAATGTTACAATATTTTTGTAAGACTTGTCCAGAAGTTGTAGGTTGGAAATCTCTATCTTTGGGTAGTCAATAATTGATCTGGTTTTGTAGAGATTCACGAAGGAATTGTATTTTTCCTCAATTAGGGTTGTTTCATCATTGTTTTCAATTTCGACGATTGGAATTTCTTGTTGTTGTTGACTTGTAGAGGAGCGGTTTCTTATATCGTCAATATCAGGTTCTTTGTTAGAAGCGAGTATGTGAACTTTGGACCTTAAATCTGAACAATCTTTAAAGTGGTTTACCTTTATTCCAGATAGGGCATCAGCGTTCTTATTGATTTTCCCAGGTTTATACTCGATTCGATAGTCGTATTCTTCGAGTTTCAAGCGCAAGCGAGCTAAACGACTTCCAGGGTCTTTAATTGAGAAAAGCCAATTTAAAGGCCGATGGTCTGTGATAAGGACAAATTTTCGACCAAAGATATAAGGTCTAAAATGTTTAATTGCCCATACAATGGCCAGTAATTCTCTCTCTATGGTAGAGTATTTAACTTCGGCATTGCACAGCGTTCGAGAGGCATAGGTTATAGGGAGATTTTTTCCTATAGGGCCTTGTGACAAAACTGCACTGATGGCAAAAGCGCTTGCGTCGGTGGTTAATAGAAATGTCTTCTCGAAATTGGGATAGATCAGAATCGAGTCAGAAACTAATGCGTTTTTCAATTCGTTGACTGCGGAGCATTCTGGGTTAAAGTGAAATGGAACATCTTTCTGGAGGAGTTTTGTCAAGGGCTTCGATGTTTTAGCAAAATTGGGGATAAATCGACGATAATATCCTGCTAATCCTAGAAAGGATTTAATGTCTTTTGGGTGTGGGGAAGCTCTGAATACAACTAATTTACAGGGTTCGGTTTTACACCATCTTGAGTGGTAAGGTGTCCCAGGTAAGTTATTTCTTTTCGAAGAAACTCACATTTTTCCGGCTAGATTTTTAAGTTTGAATACTTCGGTTAGCATTGAAATATGTTCGTGGATGGTAGGGATAGGAGAGTAAACGATAATGTAGACTAAGCATCTTTCATTTTGAATGCCGAGGAGAATATTGTCCATGACTCTTTGAAATGTGGACGGGGCATTTTTAAATCCAAATGGCATACGTACGAATTCGTAATGGCCATTTTCTACGGGAAAAGCGGTTTTCGAAACATCCTTGGGATCTACTTCTATTTGGAGAAAACCTGAGGCTAAGTCAAGGGTGGTAAAATATTGACATGTTTTCAATTGATCCAGAAAATCAGGAAAACACCATGGAGATACCAAATGGCGAATTATGCCTTGGTCTAGTATTTTGGAAACTTGGGATTTGACTTCTTTGTGGATTTGGGGGTACCTGTAAGATTTGGTATACACAGGCTTTGCATTATTGGTGTCAATAAGGTGTTTAATCTAGTAAATGTGAGCGTGTCACCTTACAGGTAGAAAATGTCGGAAAAGTTCAGGCATAAGTTGGTAATTAGTTCTTTTTCTTCGTCGTTTAAATGTTCTGTACGAAGTTCATTTTGTATGGACATTTGCCCATCATAAGTATCGTCATATTCGAGGTTAGAGTTGTTAAAACAGTCTTAAAATTGAGGTTAAAAATTCAACTTGTTCATTGACTTTTATTAAAGCATTAGGTAATGACTTTTTTTTTTGAGAAAACAGTAAAGCATCTGTGTTGGATAGATTACACTTGAGTTTAAAGATCTTTTCACTTCTAGCTTCTATAGATATTTTGTTAAGAATTGTTTGAGTGTTGTTTGGTTTTGCATTATTAGGGTAGTCATCTTCAGTAACATTATGAAGAGGGATAGTTTTGAAATTAGTTACAAGTTCTTTAGCTTTCAAATCTATCACACATTGATAATGTTCTAGGAATTGCAACCCTAAAATTCTATCGAAATCAATATTCATGTTGTAAATATACCCTTTGTGAGGATCTTGGAGGAGGGTGGACGGTAAAAGTGTTGATTCACGAATCTGGAATTTTTGATCGATGATTCTTTGAATGGTTGCGTGTTCTTCGGAATTTATGGACACTATTTTCTTTAAAAATTGAAATGCTTGCACTCTGCACCTGTATCAATAAGTAATCTGAATTTATTGGAAGCATCAAAAATGTAGTACAGATATTTCGAATTAAAAGTAAGAAGTGGGTCTGAAGAAATGCTAGTTCCAGAAAATTGAGGTTCGGATTGATGTTGTCTAGATTCAGAAGTTGTATTCGAGTCTCGATATTCGAAGTGTGATCTTGAGGGGTATTCTCTGGCGGATGGTGATTGGTAAAAGGTACCAAAAAATCCTGATAATTTTCAGCGTTCGGATCAGTAGTGAACTGTTCAGCATATTCGTTTTCTTCATAACTAGCATCTTGTTCATAATGAGGGCTTTCAGCCTATTCAAATTCGTTGGCATATGTTTCATTAGAGGAATCATTTAAAGGATAAGTTTTTTGCTTGTTAGGGTAAAAACTGGGGTTTCTTTGAGAGGTAGTTGAAGCGTTTCTTGATAGTTGAAGCGTATATTTTAAAACATGTTGATCTTGCTGTTTCTATGGGAGCGTTGCGACGATGGAGCAGTTCTTGGCGGGACAGGATAACTTGCTGAAGTAGCGTCTAGACTTTACGATACTTTGAACGACCGTGGAGGTCATTGTGGTCGTGAAATCCATATAACATGTATATAGTCTAGTTAATACTAGTTTTAGTGAAGTTGAACATTAACAGTTAGACATTGTGTTCCCAAAAGGGGGATGTGATGTAAAGATTGCTATCGAACGCGGAAGGAACTTTGTTATGGACATGGTGCCTGTTTAACATCGTGAAATGAAGACGTAACGTATGTTGGACTGATAGGTAAACAGAAAAACAATGGGACAGTCGTCAGTCAGCAGAGAACTCGGGCAGGCAGGGTTTGCTCGTGACTCCGGCACGGCACAAGGAGATTCTTGGACATTATCGCCACATTTCAAAATACTAACCATTATATCCATCATGGTCCAAATCCCCTAAAACCATTAAAGCCGTTCCAAAACGACCTCCAGATACACCGCCGTCTATTCTATTTTGCATACCAAATTGTAACTTTCTCTGAAAAAAAAAGTTTTCAAAAATCACATTCCAATCATATTTACTTTTTATACATTATGTCCGTAAAACACATAAACGCTTCCATGATTGTAACCAGTTTTATCGTTGCTCCTGTACGGTGCCCCAACTATAAGATCGTCGAAGCCGTCCGCGTTGAGATCACCAGCTGCCAAGGAAGAACCAAAATATTCACCAAATTGGGTACCGAAAAGTTCTTCCTTAAGTTTGGATTTCACTTCGTTTCGAATCTTAGTTGGAGCGTTGTCAAAAGTGAAAATCAAAACCTGGAATTTGGTTTTCTATCAAATCAAAGCTCTACTCGTATATTTTTGAAATTTCCTTTTTTTTTTTTCAAGATTACTCGATTTTTATGACGACTACTTTGAGGCCAAGCAAAACCTTGTGATAACTTGGGGGTAAATAATATTTGCAGAGCTCAACTTACCATTCCATAGGGAACATTGTATAGTCTGTTCTCATGGAATCCTCTCGGCAAACCGGTCACGTAGTGTAGTTCAGATTTGTGGTAAAAATAACCGGACGTTAAGGCGTATCCTATAAAGTAAAGTTTTACATGAGAATGGCATGAAAAGAGCAAAAACCGCCCCAATTTCGATAATTTAAGTTAGCATTTAGTTATTATAGACTTTCCTGAATATTCATAATAATGCCCTTCAGGAGCTATAACAACGACTTTCCACTTGTCTTGTGTTTCGTTTATGTTTTTAATTTTAAATACGGTTCCCAAATAATTATAAACTCCTGGTGCTCCTATTAAAATTTCGTTTTCTTTCTTAAATAAAAATTAAAAATGTACCTAATATTAATATATTTTTTCAAATATAATTACTTACTTGCGGGAAGTGCAGAGAAAATCCAGCTAAAGATCGTTGATAATAAGGCAAACGTTCAGAGATTTCTGGTTCTAAAAGGAAAAATAAATTGCTGTGTTGTTATTCTGTGGTTATACTTACTTTCCAATGGATTATATCTATTCTTGAAGGTTTTCTTATTGATATTTTCTATGTAAAAGCTCCCTTGAGCGGCGGCAGTATTATTCAAACGGGTGAAAGTATCATGCCAACCACTGGCTGAAGTCTAATTTAAAAAAAAAACAGCAATAGAGGAATTTTAGCAAACTTTGTAAGCTTTGTATTTAGAACTCTTAAAAAAAGGTAGAAGGTTTGAAAAAACAAGGCTTGATTTAAAAAAAAAAAATACTTACGGCTAAAGTTTTCAGTTTGTAATTTATATCCATAGCACCTCCAGTGAAAGAATGTACCGACTCATCGTCTAAAAAATTTAAATTATCAATTTTTAACATACCGTTACGAAAATGCATCGACAATCGAGAAAATTACTTGTTCACGTGGGCAGCGCGTCCTTCTGGGTATTTCATGATATTCAATTCGATGTTTTTCTAGCTAGATCCGAAAGATCCGGAGTGCAATTTCGATTATATAAATAAAGCCTAGTAATAGGTTAAGTCAGGTTTATTCTGATATTTGTAGTGTAAGTTTCAATAAGTGAATTGGTTTAATCAAAGTTTTTACTGTTTTGATGAAAAAGACAAAGAAAAAACAGCGTTATCCACTGGAAGTCGTCTTTGCCAATTCAAGGTAATGCCTTTTGGACTTTTTAACGCCCCCGCTGCTTTTGAGAGCTTGATGGAAATCGTACTATGAGGACTTACGCGGAAAGTATGCCTTTTCTACCTGGATGATGTGCTAGTGATGGGAAAAACTTCCGATGAACATCTACGAAACTTACAAGAAGTATTTAATCATATCCGTGAAGCAAACCTTCGATTAAATGACAAGAAATGTTCAATCTTCCAACAACGCGTTGATTTTCGTTTAGTTCTTCCCAAGGGAATTTATACTGACGAGAGAAAAATCCAGGTAAATCGGAATGGTATCGACCTTCGACCATGGGACAAACATGAACTCAGAACTTTTCTTGAGGCTTTGTACAGGGGCGCAATTATTTTTTGGTATATTTGCTGGATGTCGGCGGCAAGAACTTGTAAATATGTTAGTTACACATGTAGAAGATAGAAGGTCAGTCTTTGTTGTAACGGTTCCAGAAACCAACACTGACAAAAAAACGAGTTTTCACCATTGTTGATGAAGGCAAAATGAAGAGTTTGAAACTTATAAGAGATTATATTTCTTTGCTACCTCATGACTGCTCAGAAAAAAGACAATTTTTAAGCTACAGAGAAGGCCGCTGTACTGTACAACCTGTTGGAAAAACATATTTGGGAAAATTCCATGTATTATTGCAAAATATTTGGGTTTGAACAACCCCGAAAAGTACACGTCGGCAACTCTTTTAACAGAAGCTCGAGCAAGTATGACTACGCTAAAGCGCCATAGTGGATGCAAGATCACCACAGTTGCTGAAGGATATTTAGAGGACAGCATATCCTCAAAAAATGAGGTTTCAAGGATGCTGGCAGGCGTACCATCTGGATCTCGCATTTCCTCACAGAAACTAGACACCCAGACAATGAATCATGAGTCAACCTTTGGTGCTATCAGCGGAACCTTCCAAAATTGGCAATTCTATGTAAATACAACCAAATAATATATAAACGTGAATTTATATTTTGTTAATAATGAATAAGGTAATCGAAAACTGTTTTTTGCGTCTTAATCCTCGCGCGGGCCATAATGTGTACTTCATGCCCGCACGGGCATAAAGTAATGAATTATGTATAGATGGTAGGTATCATAGGTTTAAAAACACAATAATGTACTGGTATGACTGGTATGACATAAAGACTTCATGGCACCAGTGCCATAAATTAACACTTTTAGTGCTACGTTTGTAGAAAAAAATGTTATCTGCCTCATATTTCGAAAAGAAATATATTGAGAGATTTAAAAATAAAAATAAAAACAATGATGGCCGTACTAGAACCCTTCACAATACTTTTGATTTAAAAGCAATTGTTAGTAGAAATTAATAAAAAGCTTCCCTTAAAATACAGAGAAAAAGTATAACTTGTAGGAAGAAAATACTCTGCGTCTACTGAATAAAAGTAAATGTTGCAACCATGTAATGCTCTGTGGAATTGATGAGAACGAGAGCGCGCTGTAACAAAAAGGTACCAAAGCGAAAGGTAGGTAGAGAATACGCAACTGGACTAGAGAGAAGAAGCTGGGCTGGTCCCTCTAGACCAGTGGTTCCCAAACTGGGGGGCGCGCCCCCCTGGGGGGGGGGGCGTGAAGCAACATTAAGGGGGGCGTAAGTCTCCTCTTCCAAAGTCCAGTTCAGACAAGTTAACAGCTGCTTACGGAAACACTGATCTAGGATCAGTTCGATCAGTATCAGCTGTTCAAGGATTGATAAACTATCTAGGTGGAGCTAGTTTAGTTTCCGAACGGATGGATTCGCAATGAATCTTGTCAAATGAGACCTCCCAACAATCCTGATCTCAACAAACATTATTTTGATTTTCCGATTTTAATTTTTTTCTAAAGTTCTCAAATTTCCATTTTTTTGGCTTCTTGCTGTTGAAGATGTCTGCCACGTTTATTTTAAAGGCAAAACAATCAACAAACAACTTAAAAGTTCGATCAAGAAAAACAGCTGACGGCCGCCAATCCTATTTACCCCGCATTTTATCGGGTCGATGAGATCCAAACATGATATTGAACCGAACAACCCGATCACTTTCCGTATAAGAGTGAACTGGCCCAGGACTCCGTGTCATGTAGAATACTACGACAGGATTCCATAGGCTCGGCCCTATGTGCGGCATTCGGATATGTTTCGATATGTCGAATTCTACATGGCACGGAGTCCCACCACTGATCCTAGATTCATTTCCGTACGTCCAGATTGGTGATTCTTGTGATCGGGTTAACTCGATCATAGTTTCCGTGAACAGCTACAGTAAGTAAAAAAAAGTTTTTGTATAATGGGGGTAGGAGGGGGGGCGCGACCACTTCTTGATTTCAGAAAGGGGGCGCAAAAGAAAAAAGTTTGGGAACCACTGCTCTAGACCGTTTGTTCGCCATTGTTCATTTTTCAATTGTTATTTTGTATTAAACTGATTGGTCAATCCAATTTGTGATTAGTGTGTGTATCAAGGAGCGATCACAGATCAGTTGAATAATTGTTATTTTGTTTTTGAGAGTTCAATTATTTATACAAGTATCTTTTTTTCATTTTTATATTTTTATGTTTGTTTATAACATTTTTTTCATAACATGTGCATTATTCATGTATTTAACAAAAATCGTTTCCTGCTGTAAACAACACAGACAAAGAAGTGAATTAAAACCTAAGAAATTATGTGCTGTCTTTTTGTGATGAGATTTTGATTTTGTGGATTTAGAGCGTGCATTAAGGCCTTGTTGAATATACTAACATTTTCCTAGCCTGACTAGAGAATATCCTAGCAAATTGAGATAATCAATCTAGAGATATTGGCTCAAAAACAACTATAGCTGAGTAGCTTCCCGTATGGGACCTCAGTACCTGCTGGGAAACTGGCTAACTAACAAAAATACTCTTCAGTATTGAATATAGGTAGTGTTGATTGAATGTTGTGTGTGTGGAATTAAAATTTTAGCACAAAGACAAAGGATGGTACCTAATTTAAACTTTTATTGATTTAAAATATCGATTATTATTAAAATTACACAGTATGTTTCGATTTTTGAGGAATGTTAGATCGAGGGTTTATCTGCTGTGCTCTTTCTCCTCGTTAGTTCCAGGATGAGAACGGTACGATTTATTTCAATAATAAAGTAGACTTTACACAAATTTTTCTTTTATCTTACATATCACAACTTCCCTTAAATTTTCCAAATATTTGCTGTCGGGCGCATGTCCAGTAAGTAAAATTAAGAAAGTTTCCATAACGTAGGTCCTATTTGTTTTTCATTCCGTTTTTCAGAAGATTTGTTGTTTAAAAGGTAATAAAAATTCTCACCGTTCAATTTTACTTAACGAACCAGGGTACGTTATACTACAGAAGGTACCATAGATGGTGCTATCAGACTTCTCGTAATGGTAGGTATTTTTTTTTGTCAATGAATGAAGTTAGATTATAAGGCAAAAAAGCCATAGCATTACATAGCTTATATCTTTAACGTTTATCATTTTAACTTTTTCTGTGAAATTCAAAATAGATCGTAATATGTATATACAGGGTGGGCAAATGAGCGGGGTAAGCGACTTAAGGTCAACAAAGAGAAGAAAATAAATCTGAGAAGGATGCTTTTGGTTTATTGTTTTCCTATATGAAGTCCTGTGTAAAATGTCAGTTTACAATGACGGCAATATAGGATCAAATTAGGTAAGTTTTTTTTTTATGCTGTGGGACTCATTATACTTTAGGTTAGCTAGATCCCGACAGTGACTACACAGAAAAGTAGATTCAGACCAAATTGTAAGAACATTTTGGAATTAACATAATCATCACTCCAAGAAAGAAATTACCTTCTATATTGTCTCTCTAAGGATAAATCTGAATGCTTTACTCAACAAAGCTTTTTACGAGTCAACTTCAGATGATCCACGAAAAGAAAAATAACGGATTTTGTCAATGGAAGCATCTATTTTAAGGGAGGAAGTCAAAGAAAAAATCTACGAGTGCAACTTTAATCCGGATTTCGAAAATTTACACCAAACTGCATCAGAAAAAACACCTAAACGGCTATTATTTTTTTTGTCACAGAACTGCTTTTAAAATGTAAAAAAATTATGATATCGATTTCAGAATATGCCTTCTCATAGGACATATAATTATAAGTACAATGACCTCGGTCATTTATTTCCGCTATTCAGCTTAGCATATCAACATACATCGCAAGGTTGGATCAAAAACTTTGATTGATATGCTATCGACTTTGGGAGCTTGTTGTACCTACAAAAAGTCGCACCTTTTTGAAGAAGTTGTATTGGCTATACAGTGGATATTGAAGACGAAAGTTTTAGCTAGTTTATTTTCGACGATGCAGACTTGAATATCAACAATATAGACGGCTGCAAGTTGCAATACCTTCCATGCTATGGGAGGTATTCAATGCATAACTCCAAAGGCGCATATTTTTTTAACTCCTTTTGCTAAGAAGTAGGTA